TATGGTTTTCAGTAATTAAATATTCGGAAATAGTTCGTCACTCCTTCTTCCTAGTCTGTCTTCATCTGGAAGCTCACCTGAAACCTGTGCACCATGGGTGACCCTGCTGGTATTTAAAATACCGGTGGCATAGCTTCCAGAATCACAGCAACTCACAAGCCACCATAGTATGACAAACTGACAGACGAGTGTAGTTTCTCACACACACACACACACACACACACACACACACACACACACACAAAAGGGGGGCGGTGGATAAGGGGCAGTGAAAAGTGGTACTTGTATTTTATTTTCCCTTTATATAACAATGACAGGTATTACCTTTATCAAATCTGGTTCTCCTGCCTGGAAGTGAAGAACATCATCTGGCTGGGTTGCTTCAGGACTCTGAAGGGAAAAAGATAATAGATCAGATCATTTAGTGTTAGGCCACCTTATCACACAGCCTCAACAAGTACCACCAGTCAGTCCACATAATTTTACGGTTTCATTAGGACTGAAATGAATTACATAATTACATCCAATTGTAATGGTCTTTCCCCTCATTTGAGACAATGCAATGAGAACATGACTGATAAGCTACAACTGTCTAATTTTTACAGGGATCTTTTCACAAGGAACCTCTCAGCATTTGCACTATTTATAAAAGTATTAAAATAAAGGCCCTTCACGTACTATGTAACTCTCCTTTGTCACTTGAGGATGAAGTAAGTTTCGGAAAAGTATCTGTCTTGTTAAAAAACAATACTCAAAGCTGTTAACACCATCTTTTTTCTACAACTGAAGACTACAATTATAAAGTAGTGGGGGAGGGGGTAAGAAGGCATGGCTCAGTAGTCATTCAGTAAGTATGTATTTTAGGAACCGCCCAAAGCATTGTTTACTTCCAAATCTTAGACACAGTATCCTTATGAAAGCTTATTAATTTTATAAATGACAATTTTTAAGTAGCACAAATTCTAAAACTGGTAAAGATACTACAAGAAGGTATTTGTCAATTTTAGATTTTATGCCGGTTTTTAAAATAAGTAATAAAACTATTTAAATGCCATTGGGAAAATAATATCCCAAGTTCTTGTCTAAAAAGTACAAATATTCATCATCCATAAAATTAATGAGAATGTGAACCTCAATCTCTAATTATTAGAGATGGGTTCATTTAGGCCATGATCTATGACTAGACATACTCATTAAACAAATGTGAAAGGACCTATTGATCAAGGGTGATATTTGGAATTTTATTTATCTTTACAAAGGTATTTATTAAAGACTATTCCGTATGTTGGCTATAAAGAACTATTCCATATGTTGGCTATAAAGGACAAAATAGTGTGGTGTTGTAGGATCACCACTGGACTGAACCACAAGAACCGTGGTTCAAACCCACCAGTCACTCCTCAGAAACTCTATACAGGGTCACTATGAGTGGGAACCAACTCCACAGCACCTAACAACAATTATCACTACAGGTTATTACAAACCATTAGTATAACAAATTATATTTTATTAGCATTACCTTTCTTTTGTATTGGCCATTTCAGAAGTTATTGATAAAACAAAGCTTTTGTCACATTGAGCCCAATCTCACTCACACCCCACATTCTTGCTCTCTCTGTCTCTCTTAAATGTCTTCAGGGAAATACCAAAAAAAGAATGAAAAAAAGTATACCAAATCCTCCTATATTATCACAACCTAAGTCTCAATTTCCACAAGTTTCCAACCTGAATCATGTCTCAGTGCCTTGCCGGTAAGTTCTCTTCTCACCTGAAGAAGGTTTGTAGGTGTTTTGAACTTCAATACCTGCTTAACCCTAACTATCCTCATGAGCTTTCCATAACCAATTTAAGCCCACCCATTTCCTTCCCTACGTAGCACTTGTCATCTTTGTCTTCCTTCTCAGCTGCTATCATTCTTACCTCAATGAGCCGGTAAGATCTGCACAGTCAAGCACTGTGTCTCCCATTTCCTTCTCTTTATACATCTGTTCAGCTGACTCACTTTTTAATGGGTAGAGAGTGGGCATAGGGTTAATAGTTTCTATGTATAAAGAGTGTGTGTGTGCGCTTGTATGTTTGTGTGGATCTACCTATATTTCTCCCCAAAACTGCCTACATAAAAATTTCCAATTTAAAACTATTTCAGTCTGCTGCCCCCCTCCTCCCCCCCCATGTTGTTGCTGTTGTTAAGTGCTGTCAAGCTAATTCCAACTCAGCAATCCTGTACAAGGTTTCTGGGGAGCAGTTGGTGGGGGAACTGCTGACTTTGTGGTTCCGTCTCTTGCTTATCCTACAGCATGATACCAAGAGTTCTATAAGCAACTGAAATTTCCTGGAAATGCTAAAATTTTAACATCAAATTTTTCAGTCTGCCTATCATATGTAAAGACAAACTAAATCTTTTCTGAAAAAAAAGTATAGCAAATCCTCCTATATATCACAACCTTCATTATGATCAACCTAATTTCATAGGTTAAGAGTTTTTGTTTAGCTATCAGATGGGGTGTGGGTGATATGAAGGAGACCAACTCACCAGAGGTCCAACTGAGAAAACCACAGCAGACATATCTCGCCTTCTGTGTACCTTGCTCTGGCAGAGCAGACTTCCACAAAGACATATCTGAGGGAGAGAAATAAGACATGAAAACCAAGTTCACTTTGGAAATCTCAAACTCATCATGTTAGAAAATCCTGACATATAAATGAGCATATTTCTATTTCCTCCTCAGGGAACACAAGAATAATCCCCTCAAGATCAGAAAGGGAAACCAATGATTGTTCCTGGAGGTCTTGAGATTTTAATACTATTAAATGTAGTCAGAGCTAGCAGACTAGCCATTGCACAAGAAAGTTTAAAAATACTATCTCACTGAATCTTCACAACAACCCAATGGGCATTCTACTCCCGTTCCACTGATATGGAAACTGAAGGTTAGTAAATTTAAGCTACTTATCCAAGGTCATGGAGCTACATGACTCCAAATCAGTCTAATTCCAAAGTCCACACCGTTTCCACTAAATCAAATTGTTGTGTGATGTGAAAGAAAATAAGTCTTTGTCACAATGACTTACTCATCTAACAGTGAAATGCTCTAAGAATCTCTTCTTTTCTGTGAACTCAATTTGCTAAAATTTTGAGACCTCAACTTCATGTAAAAAGAACACTACAACTTCCAATTTTAAACATTAGGAACCTGGTCACACTCCTCCCAATCTACTGTTTAAGCAGATCTAAAAGAAGCAAAGATAATAATATACAAGAAAGTGGAATTCAATGAACCAAGCATTAAAAAAGGGTTTTTTTATACTGAAAAAAGATATACACCTAATAAAGGTTTTATTTTATGGAGAAATAGGGTGGCAGAGATCTTGTTCAGATACTCGTGATAATTTCTTACCCATTAAAAAAGCACAGATTCTGACTTTTTACCTCTGGTTAAGGATAGTTGATGCTGGATTAAAAAAACAAGGAGCATATAATGTTTGTAAACACTTTGTTAACAAGTACCTGATCGCCTAAGCCCTTTTCAGAATGATGTTGTAACCCCATAATATAAAAAACAAGTGGCATAGCAAGAATTGAGCAGTCCAAGATTTTACAAGATCTTTGCAATGGTAGTTCTGACCCTATCTCTACCACATTAGGGACTTGTAGGGTAGTGGTGAGGGTGGTGAGGGTGGTGTGCCTGCCTTGTATGGACACTGTGACTCCATGTAGGAATCTGTATCATGGAAGTGAGTCTATGATGGTGAACTAGACAGATACATCACTTTACAACAAAGATTCCTGAAACAGATATGGATGACAATCCTGGAACCCAGAGCTTCTAAGGAAAGGATGAACAAGTAGATCAAATACCAATGAAAGGAAATGACTGAATGAAGAAAATGAACTGAGGCATAAGGAGCAGTTAGTGGGTCACTGTGATCAGAGCAGAAACCAGATAACCACCTCTACTCACCCAGGACTGCACCAGCACCCATGAATAATCAGCAAAGAACCAGGAGCCAGAGACCCTACCCAGTCATACCCACCTCACCTGCCACATGCCATCCAGTGGATCAGTGTTACCACCTACTCCAGGACCCCTAGAAAGAGAGCGTATGGAAGCCAGCGCCCACCCAGGTTACACTTAGCTGCTTTACATAAGCAGTGATCTGAGGCTCCTGCCCATTCCACTGCCTGCTATCAAATCCACTAGTGACAGAGTAGCATGCTTGACCCACTGTCTGGATACATTTAAACAAAACTAAACATTAGGATGAAGCAAAATAACATACGGTCAACAAATGAATACAAAGATACCACAAAGCCTTCAGGGACAACTTCAAATCATATAAATAGGCCAAGATGGCTCAAACATGTGAGCAAAGGACAGGGCAGAAAAGCTCCTGAAGGAAGAAATGCTATTACAACTTCTGGTAAGAATTCAGAAGATTTATACTTACGTCTTTTCAACAGTTTAAAAAAGAGGTCAAAGAAACCACAGACAAAAATCTGAGAAAACACAGACAAAACTCTGGAAGAATTCAGGAAAGAAATACAAAAACAAACTTAACAAAATAGAAAATTAGTAACTATACAAAAACAGGAAATAGAAATTCAGAAGATTAATACTGAATTTCAGAAACAGATAATGCACTGGAAGTGCAAAGAATTATTGAATCAATGGAACGGAATCAGTAAAATCAAATATAAGTCTCTTCTTATTAACCTATTAGAAGAATAATCAGAAAAAATAACAAAAAAGAAAGCCTAAGAATTATTAGAGGATATCATTGAGAGCAATAAGTTACATTATGTGTGATCAGAACTCTAGAACAGAACAAGATTTTTAAAAAATCAAGAAAATTGTTCCAACAAGATATGTTAGAAGACAATGCCATTAATATCATGAAAGACAAGAAGACATGCCACCTCAATCTTCACTGAATTGCTTCCGACCTGTCTGGATGGGGTTGATAAAAGGTGAGGGGGAAGAACTCCCATGGTTCAATAGGGAATGATTGGGATCAGGTCTGACAGTGAATGTTGGAAAGGTCAATGTAAATGTTTGGTAACAAAAGGAGGGGAGCAGCTGATTTTGCAGTCCAGGAGCAGAGATTCCCTGGAACTATCAAGGGAGAAAAGCGAAGTGCCAGGCGCTGTCTGGAGAGGCAGTGACACTAGGGATAGAGGTAGAGGCGATGACGTGGACAAAAGGAGCGGCTGGGCACTGTGGACTCAGGCAGGGAGAGGGGCTGTGCAGGCATGTGGGGTGTACCCTTTGGTTGTTTGATGATGCATGCAGGGGATTGTAACCATGGCAATGAAACAAAATACGATAGGATGAATGTAAAGATAATGTTCACCCATGTAAACTAACACATAATTCACAAAAACAACAACAAAAAAAGCAGCAGATACCACTTTGACCCTCCAAACAATGAGCTAACTGGAGGTTAACAACAAATACTGTACAATAAAACATCTCAAATACTAAAAAAAAAAAAAAAAGAAGCTATGTCACCTCATAACACAGAGGAACCTGAAGGACATAATGCTTAGTGAAATTCATCAATCACAAGAGGACAAATGTTGTCTGAGATATACTACTATAAAACGTCAAGTAAAGGTTTTCAAACTAAAGAAACATTCTTTGAGGGTTAAAGAGGTGACAAGGGTTCCAACTCATAGCAACTCTTTCTAGGGTTTCCGAGGAGTAGCTGGTAAGTTTGAACTGCTGCCCTTGTGGTTCAAACTGACCACAAGAGTGTGTATCCTGCAGCTCCAGAGGGTTCAAGAGATGGGAGGGGTAGATCAGGTAAATTAATCATTACAGAGTAGACATATTGACTTGGGAGAAAGGGAAGGCAAAATAAATAAAATGGTGTTGGTCATAGATGGCATTTTTCCTGCCTGAGAGGGGTGGAGCGAAGAATCAGAGCTTCTTATAAAAGTGGCTGATAAAATAAATCAATACATAAAGTGCAGTAAACATAAAAAAAAAAAAAAAAGAAGAAAAACAGGTAGGATGCGGCAGATAACTTCAAAGACTACACTAAGAGTTTGGAAAAGAGACAAGTATTCAAGAAGCTCAACAAACCCCAAATGGGACAGAGCTCAAAGGAAAATCACCAAAACACATCATAATCAAACACTCCAAAACTGCAGACAAAGAAAGAATCGTATAAGCAGCTGGCGAGAATCATTTCTTTTAGAAGCGTCAGCCTGAGGTTTCTCCCTCTGAGGCGGGAGTTAAAGCCATGTCAAATGTCTGACTTTTCCAAAGTGCTGTTCTACTCCATAATCCCCCCACTCTTCCCCTCAGGATTCTCCCTCACATCCATGGATTGAGACACGGCACAGAACTCATGGATCCTTAAGGAAAAGACTTCCATGGCTGTGAAGGCTGGCAAGTCTCTAGAGGATTCTCCTCACTCACACCAAAGCAGGTTGTTGACTCACAAGGCTGTGGAAGCTGAGGAATCAGCTCAGGTCTCTGGTTCCAGTCCAGGAACCGGAAGTCGGATGGACATGAGCTTGACTCATCAAGCAAGTGTACCATCCACTCCCATCACCAAGATGGCTCATTTTACGACCAGAAGGATGGCCGCCTTGACTAAGCCCCTTGTTAGATCTCCAGGTTTTTACAATCACAATTACCCTGTTAACAATCACTGACATCTGAAATAATTTAATCCTATCCGCATCTTCCCCCACCTTCTCTTACTCAGACCCATCAGGAGACAGGTGTTTGGTGGGAATTACAAAGACATGGCTAGAAGAGGCATATTAAATAATCCACTGCACTTAACAGCTCAGACGGAAAATGAAGTTACCTACAAAGAACCAGTAAGACTAAGCTGATTTCTTGGCAGAAGCCATGCAAGCAAGAAGGCACGGCATGACATACAAGGGGGCTGCCAAAAGTTCATGCGAAAATGGAATAGAAAGATAATGGAATTTTTCCACAAACTTTTTTTTTTTTTTAATACTGAGTGTTTTTTTTTAAAAAGGGTACGTGCATATTCCGTGGAAGAGAGTGAGGTGAGTTTCCAATTCTAACGAGGAGACAGGACTTTTAGCCGAATCTAAGTTGGTTGCTGGCAGGGGCAGCACCATCCGGGCTGTGGTCTTTCTTTCTGCAGCCGGGGAATGGCAGATCACGAGGTGAGCTTGAAAGACATTTGTAGTCTTTATGATAGTTATTGATAGTCTCAGAGCTCCCCTCCCAAAAGCTGCCAGCTGAGAAACGTGAACGCAGTCATCCATCAGGAAAGGATGCGATTTCTTGCTTCCTCTGCCGTTTCTGTAGCTCGGCAGCCCCGCCGTCCTTGCCCCTGCCCC